CCCCAAAACCCCAAAACCCCAAAACCCCAAAACCCCAAAACCCCTTTTCTCCTTATCGAGGTTGAAGCTAGTTTGAATTCCTAAATTATTAGTTTGGCTATTCATAAGAGACTACTAAATTATCAGATCGATTACGAACTCTAAGTGCCAATAGTAACAACACCCAAGAATTATAACCTAAGCCCTCAATGAAATAACGACTATCACTGCTGCAAAGCTAATACCAAATTTTCACTAAGAATCTATTTTGCTATCGAAATTGTGCGCAAGGGCTAACTTTTGAACTAAGAAAAGACGTATCTTCTTATAACCCAACGAATTTAATACGAAGAAAGGATTAGAAGAAGATACTGCTCTGTCCTCCTGGAGGAGCATGTACCCTGATAGATGACTTGTCCGTAGTCGGCCCACTGTTCAATCCACTCTCTACTCTTTGTCCAAACGTGGTAGGTGCACTAGTTACATTCAAATCGCTTGGATGAATAGGCTGAGGGTCACTGTAGACTGCAGAAGGAGTAAAACCACTTGGAGCTGCGCCATAACTTGGATATGTCTGCTTCACTTCTTCTGGAGGAGCTCCATAAGTTGCTGGAGCACCGCCTCCATAACTTGGAGGTGGGCAGAAATCACCAGCTGAAGCATGACCTGGAGATGGCTCATGGTGACCATATGATGGAGGTGGAGCATATGAAGACTCTTGTGGAGCTTGATATCCTCCTCCGTATTTAGGCTCCGGAGCAGAATGAGCAGGCTCTTCAGCTCCAAAAAGGTTTAGAGAACCTCCTCCACCAGGAGGGTGGTGCACTTTTACAGAAGATCTCTCATTGCCATCTGCTCCGATGTTCATTTCAGATCTCATCTCTTTCTTGACTCCAAATGTAGTGACTTCTGTTGGAGCAGAAGGTTGGTAAGATCCATACCCACCATCATACGAAGGACCTGAACTTGCAGCAGGAGCTCCGTATGATCCTCCATAATGTGCTGGAGGTGTTGGATCAGCTTGAGGTTCAGAATATCCATACCCTGGACTTGGGCCTGCAGCAGAGTGACCTCCATAGGAAGGTTGTGAGGGAGCCGAGTAAGCAGGCTCTGGTGGAGCTCCATAGCTTGGGGGAGGAGCATAAGCTGGTCCAGGCTTTTTATAATCTTGTGGGTCGTTGTCCTCATTTCCAAAAATTGAAATACTTGTTTTGCCACCTGGAGGAGCGTGCAATACAACATGTCTACGAGAGTTATCCCAATCCATCTTCTTTTTGAATATTTAAACGATAATTTTATAAATCTAACATATTTTTGGCCTTTCGGGGTTTTGGGGTTTTGGGGTTTTGGGGTTTTGGGGTTTTGGGGTTTTGGGGTTTTGGGGTTTTGGGG